CAGCTTGGATGGAAGACCATTATTTGAATAGATCATATCTTTTTATGCACTGTTCAGTACGATTTTAATTCTTAATTGAATCCTGAAAATGTACCTTCACACTTAATAATTATTGTTACAAAGCAATAATCCCAGTTTTCTTTGATATAATACTACTAAAAATATCTTGGTATAAATGATTACGAATAATCAATTTTATATACAATTCATGTATTTCCTTTCGGATTGGTCCGGCCTTTCCAACAATTAAGATTCCATCAACATTTGCAGAAGTGATAGCAAACCATTATCGAAAGCAACAGAGCATTATACCTTTTTTTGTTCTATCAAGACTAACAAGGTAGGACTGTACACGCTACATTGCGGTTTATCAGTGCGTATTAAGTGTTGCCCCAGAAACAAGAAATAGTTTTCAAATATTCGCTCTCTCTCATGTCGCGATTACACTTTACCCTAAATTTGCATAACTTTTAAACCACAAGCAAGCAAATTCTGAAAATAAGAAGCCATGTTTAATTCCGTGTATTGCAAAATAAGGTAAACGATTGAAATTTTAATCGGGCATTGTGTTGGAATATTCTACAGGAAATGCACAGCTGGTTAGCAACATCTAAGAAATGAATTTAGTAGACATGTACACTGTGTACATTTTGAAGTTGTAAAATCTTGTGATATCACATTCCTTTTATGCTAGTAAACCTACAAACGGCTACAAGCMTTCGCACGTAGACCGAGCTTTATGAAGCTTATACTTGTGACTATAACATGAAGTGCGAAGTTTGCAAAGAAGTGCGGGATGGGACACAGGCCCGTAGGCTGCCTTACAAATGGTGGTGTTCGTGTTTTCATAACGCAGGCCTAAATTAAATGTTTAAGGAAATAAGTTCAGTGCACAGTATAGTGTGTAAGAACTGGCTGCTGGTATGAGCAGTTCATAACAATTTGCTATGTCAAAAACAGTTCACAACAAAAGAATAAAAAAAAAAATAAAAAAAAGAGAAACACCGGACCTTTTAAGCTTGTGGGCATGGGACTTAATTGCATATATGTGTTATAGCTAATGCCTATTGCCKTTTTTTCAGAATACAACATAAATCATGAAAATTGCTGTCTTCATCATTACTTTACTTTGTACCTTTGTGAACAAGACAACACAGGTAATCCGCTCAATTACCGATCTGTTATKAACTCAATTCAGATTTGTCGAGTTTAAAATCATGGAGCATAGAAGCTTAGACCGGGTACATGGGAAATAATGCAAGGATAACGCATTAACGCAACAGATACTCCAGTTTTGCACTTACCCATTAAACATTTTGGCATGGTAAATCAAAATAAGGAGGTGTTTCACTTCAAAATGGCTCACAGTTCATGAACGACGACAATTAACTGCGTTTAATAATATGAAAGATCCTTTTGGTCTCAGCTTCAGCAGAGTTTCATGAGTTCAAGCAAGGCAACGTTTACAGATTTTACATGCAATAGAATAATCCGGCTGGTATAGGGTCAAAATTATAGAACATCTTCCAGACTGCTGGGTTACATAGGAAATTATATTGAAACCTAATAGTTGGACAGGTTATATTTTTCAAGAATAACAAATATCCAAGGATGTCCATCTTCTTAATCATTAACATTGTCACAATCCCAATCTTTAGCAAACTTCAATAATAGCCTCCCCAACAACCACCGTAATATCAGCACCAACAACAGTCTCTCCAAGCGACGCCACAGCAGCCCCAACAACAGCCTCTTCAAGCAACGTCACGGTTGCTCCACCACCAAGCAACGTCACATCAGCACCAACAACAGCCCCCGCAAGCAACGCCACAACAGCAGCCCCAGCAACAACCCTACCAACAGCAGGTAAATCATTTAATTGCCCTACCAAAGAAGGATCAAAAGAGTCCACCCCCTGTCATCTCTGGTCTCCCTACAGAATATAAAATCTGAAAAAAAATGCATCAGTTGAAAATTTTCTAAACAGGCTCCATCAGTTATAAATGATTAAAGGATTTGCTAACTTGTTAAATCGTAAATAACATAAAATAATCTATTGACA